ATTATATATCAAAAGAAGTATATGATCAGCCAGACGCCCTCGCCATGCAGGATACTGTACAAAATACACAGAGCAGTACACAGAGCAGCGTACGCGGCTACTAAAGTCTCACCCCACCGTCGGCTGGGCGACCACCAAACAATCTTGTGAGACCATTACTCCCTTGGGCCCTATCATTGTTCATCCATCTCGGAAGGCGGAACGGTTCGCCCTGAAGCCATTGAGGTTTGCTTGCAGTCTCAAAGGTGTTTCTGACCCGATGCGCAAAAGACCGGAAGAAATTCTCCTCATCCGCCTCGTTTTCTAGGACGGCGGAGGATGCGGGAGGACCTCTGGGAGGCCGAGTTGGTCGAGCACTGTCGGCCCGAGGTGTTCTGGAGGATATTGATCCTGGAGCATCGGTGTTACGGCTCGACTGCCAGGTCGATTGCCCAATACGGGAGGACGGCGCTAAAGATCCGAGGCCGTTCAGTTCTCGATCAATGAGTTCGCGCCCTTCTCTCCAACCGCCTAGCCCATAGCCGCTAGGGTTATTCTCCAACTCATTGTCATCCTCTTCAATCAGACCCAAACCGCATACATTCTTGATTCTCCCGTAGAGGTTGAAGAGAGTTGCAAAGACGGGTAGTAGGATGAAGACCGGAAAGAAATAATCAAATCCTTTTCCTAGTGGCGTGAGATCAATGAGCCGACCGAGGAAATGATAGAAGATGGTGTTTTGTCGTACACCCAGCGGCAGGAACGTCAGGAAGTTGTAAGCAATTGGGACGGTAAGCCTGGCGACTAGGCTAGCGTACCAACACGCACTTTCGCCATAAGTGTTTCGGCGAACTAGGGCACGATTGCCCCAGACCTTGGCATCATTGACACCCACCAGAGCAGCAGCGCACATGTACAGCAACCAGGCGGAAGCGGCCAGCTGCCTTCCAAAATCCACCGGTTTCGGATCTTTATGATACGAGATGATGGAGAGTGTCACGACGGACAAGCGAGGAGCCAATGATTTGATCAATTCAGACCAGATGACACAGACGGACGCGATGGCACAAAGCGCACCCAGAACGAGCCGCAGACTGGGAATGATGTTGACATACAGGTGGTACCGCATGTAGGGGGTCAAAAACTTGATGCGTGGCAAAGAAGTCGAACGCCGGGGCGATTGGCCAAAGTCCAGCTTTCGAGATGCGGAAGAGTCGATGATTGCTTGCAAGTCGGCCGCGAGTAGAACCAGACGATCCCATTCATCGACAAAGCGGGCCTTCTGGTGCCGAGCGCGCTGTAGGCGTCGGGTCAGATCCGCCATGTAGCGTTCTGTGATGACCGGAGGAACGGTGCCTTGCACACTGGAGGGTTCCAGAATAGCGGATCGCGACTCGATGGGGCTGGATGTCTCTGCCAATTCTTCAATCCAATCCTGGAAATCTCGAGCGGTTCCAGTTTTCCGCTGCTGCAATTGAGTGACTTGTGACTCGAGACTCTCGAGATCATTGATGGCATCCATAAGTCGGTCGTGCAGTCGAGGTGCATGGGCCTGGACTCTGCGTAGCCTGCCACTGACGTTGGCGTTGCGGAATAGCGTACGAGGTATGGAAACCAGGCCATGGCCCATCGCATAAATTGCAAGCACAAGACCCCATACGTAGGCCAAGGCCATGACGAGCGCCTTGATCGACGCGAACTGGAAGCCATTCTGAATGGAAATGTAGATCAAACCGACAAATGCACAGCATAAAACGATCAGCTGGTAGCGAGCGTTCGAGCGCAGCGAATACAGAATGCGACTTTTGGTATCACGATAACCCGAATCGATATATTCTCCTAGCAGCGGGAGGATAGCCCTGCAGGAAAGCAATTACCGATGATCAGCACTTCTGCAACGAGAGGGTCAGCAGAACCACATGTGGTACAAACCAGGTCAGGATGAAAATTAGCCAATAGGCGATCCGCCATGCTACCAGGATTAAACGATCCGGAAGCCATATCGCCTTTGGGCCGCCTCCGTCACGAGAACTTGAAGCAAGATCGATCGGGACTAGAAGAACTACGCTGGCGGGAAGCGCAAGAGCCAGGAAGACGGGGACAGCGAGGTATGCCGGAGTGGCTCGCAGGGTAAGGAAACGTCGAAGCAGCAATAACACCGAAACGGAGATGGCGAGCAGGGCCAGTGCAAAGAAAATACTGGACCCGACCGGGACTGGAGCTGCGGAGAATATGAACATGGCGCTTAGGGGGGGCCACCGGGGAAACAGACGAGACAAATAGTAGGGCTTTAGGTGTCCCAAATTAGATGACCATGACGGGAGGAAATGCAAGGAACGTGACAGTAAAGGAGAGACTATCGAGCGGAGGGCCTGAAGGTCTGGCTGGAAAAGGCCGAAAAGACGATAGAAGAGAAAGCCCGGACTATAAGTGGTAGAAACACAAAATGAGGAGAGAAACAGATGGATGAGTTGAGCGACCCAAATACGTCGAAATTTAGATGTCCAGTGATCCGGTGATCCAGACTATCTAGTGGATCTCCTTGATCATCATCATCGAAGTACGTACACAGGCCCAACGGAAAAGGGAACGGTCGTTGCTGCTGAGAGTCTAAGACGGGCGGTGACGACAGCAGCCATCACGTGACATGGTCTGACCAGGGGCGCCGAATGAAGAAGACAGAAGGCTACCATCTCCTGTTAGGTACAGAGCAGAGTGAGTGGGTCCAAGCACCCCGGCATGCTTACCCTGCACTCTGGAGTCTGCAGTAATTCTGCTGTATATTGTTGTGAAGAAGTCTAAACAAATAAGAGATCTTTCATTATGTGTCAATTCATCCGGCCTTAATTATTGTTGTTGGCTCAATCTGGTACTCTTGTCTTAGATAGAGAGGTACTCCCTGGTCTAAAAGGCGTTGGTGGGGTCTATGATAAGGTACATACAGTACTCCGTAGTAAGGTACCAGTCAATGAACTGACGATCCAGTCTGGATTCCTGTCAAATCAATGGGAACTCCCCCTCATAATAATAATGGTAATAATAATAGTAATAATAACGAGCATTTCCGCGACACTCAGTGAATAATACCTAGGTACCAATTTCCCTGGTGGTAGGCACGGAGCATAACTATCTAGCAGTGCCTATCTACCAGGTACGCTGTCTGGACTCCCGAGTCTAGTCTCAGGACCTTGCGTCAAATTTTTAGCCAGTCAAGAGCACCTATTGTTAGAATTAATCCTTTGACAAATGCGAGAGTTACCTTAGGACCGTAGTCCATAGTTATATAATGACCATCCTGGTTGTTGCCATCGAGATGCTACTCATTTTTTTTGAAGAATTCCAATTTCCAAGGCACCAGGGACTTAAACTAGTACAGGTATAGACTGGTAGTACGGAGGAGGGTAACTAACTACTAACTGACTAACTAGTAGTAGTAAGGTAGTGCTAGGTCCATCATCCGCTCCCGTCAACTAAAACTTTCTGGGTCTTTTGGGTCGAATCCCAAAACGCCTGAAGGGTCTAGTACCTTGTTTAGTAGCCACTTAGTCCTCTCGTAGTACCGCCAACACCCATGGGTAATCAATTATCTATCAGGCAGATAGGACTTGGGCAAGATTACTGACTTCTAATCTATTATTTCGTAGCCGCAGGATGAAGAATTATCAAGGATGATATTCCCGAGGAGACTGTTCAACTAGTGAGCCTCCAAAGTCTGTCAGTAATAATTAGTACCACTACGAGGGTCATCACCTTCAGTTTCTGGACTGTTTCCTCCCTTGTTAGGCTGCTCCACCATCGTTTTTCTTTTCTAAACCCGTTCTTCATTTTATGAGCTTCACATTGGCTGGTCCTATCGAAGGTTCCCTTCTCACAAACCTCTTGTCTTTTCCTTCTTCGACTGGTTCTTCTTCCTCTTTGACTTCTCTTTTGATAGACTGTTTGTCGAGGAATAAGAAGAAAAAGAGGAAGAAGTTGATTCTCTGAACTTCTTAACCTCCATCTGGATAATATTTCCTCCCATCATTTTCCCTCCAGCTGACGACCCATCATATCATCCACGCCACCAGACAGCTCTTCTACGGTAAGCCCACCACCACCAAACAACCACCCTCCTCCTCCTCCAGATCTTCATCCCCGACCGTCCATCATTTCGTTTCAATTGACTGCTGGACTTATTATTCCACACCACTGAACACGCATTGTTCGCATGTTCTTACATTCTTCCTCTTCTTCCTCTTTTTGTTCTTCTCCTCTTATCGTTTCTTTTATTTTTTTCGCATCCTCTTTCTGAAAAATACCCCCTCTTTCTCTTACCTATACTTCGTACTAGAGTCATTTTTGCGCAGAGATTCCTTCTAATCTTCACCGTTACGCACTTCTAGGAGATCCTCTTTCTCTCTTCTTTCCTCTTCAATTATCACTATTATCATTATTTTCATTATTACCATCCTCATTCGACTCCTTTGAACCCCTTTGTTGTCGGCCAGAGATCTCTATCTTCTATTCGGACGATATTCTGCAAGCGACGTTGTCGCAACATCCCTGTCACTGGCCCATCCTTTACCGGCGCGGTGTCATTCCTCTCTCAAGCCACTTTTCCGACCTCTGCCAGCGAATCCCCTCGACTGATAACCTGGTGCCCAAACGCCTCGATTTCTCCGCTACCTTTATCCTCAAATCTACGCTCTCTGATCTTCCTCAAACCTACATACCTTATTTTCACTTGCAACGATTCTCGAAACCGCAGATCTTACGATATCTCTTTGCCTTCGAGCCTGCTTCCAGTCTACCTCTCGGCGGTCATACATCATAGATCCTTCTGTATTCTTACCATTTTCTCCATTCACACCTGAAGCTTTGACGACTACTCAATCCCACCGAAGAGGCTCTCTGAAAACCCCCCGGTTCGACAAATAAGACATTGCAGCGTGTGAGGATTATTTGGATTTACCAGCGAATGCTGGCGAGACAGGAAAGCTTTCGCGGATTGCTCGCCGATCCCCTCTGACGGGGCTGCAGCCATGAATCCCGCGAACTTCCCCAATGTTGGCGGGGGCATGCCTGGCGGAGCCAATCCGCACGGCCAGACGCAGATGCCGCAGAGAAATGAAAATGCATCGGTTATAATGAACCAGGTGGCTCAGGCGCTTCAAGCCCAGGGTCCTTTTAGCGGTTGGAGAGCGGAAGTTCCGATTAAAGACCGAGCTGTCAAGGTCTATCAGATGTGAGTGCTAAGTTTCTGGTATTCCCTTCACTTACTGCTTAAGGGCCGCATGTGATTCATGTTCTACAATTATACTGTCTTCTTTGACTCTCTCCGCGTCGTATTGGGCTAACTCTTCTGTCCAACAAGGATTACATCCCTTCGGTTGATTCAGCCACGAATTGATTTTCAGAGCGCGGCTCAAGCTGCAATGAGCTTTGAGCAGAAAGCATTCAAAGACGCCAGGGAAAAAGTCAGTTTTTTTCTTTTCGCCCATCCTCACAGATAGTCTAATCACGAACCTCTTCACAGGTCGACTACGACAAGGAATGCAACGAGAAGTTAATCCACATACGAGACACTAGAGCAAGACAAGCCGCAGTTATGCAGAATGGGATGATGCCCCAAGGGCCCGCTGCAGGTATGCCTGGGGTAGGGCAGAATGGATTTCCTCAGCAGTTGAACCGTCCTGTGCAGGCATCTCCAATGCCAGGCCAACAGCAGATGCCGATCGGCATCAACGATCCTACACAACAAGCTGCAATTCAACAGCGCCAACAGCAACAGCAGCAGCAGTCACAACAACAGCAACAGCAGCAACAGTCGCAGCAGAATCAGGCTATGCTCCAGCAGCAGCGTGCGCAACAACGACCGGGCGGCAATGCTTCCCTGCCTGACGATCTCAATACCCTCTCTGCTCAAGAATATGAGCATGTCTGTCGGATAGCCAATCAGATCCTTGCCAAAACGCCCCAGGAAGATATGGAGAAAATTCGCATGAACCTACAGAATATGACACCGGAACAAAGACAATACCTTACCCGAAAGAACATGGATCCAATCACGTACTTCTTCCGTTGCCAGGCTTTGAATCAACTCAGAAGGCATAAACGGAACCGCATGGAAATGGCACGAGCGCAGAGCGCCGGTGTCGATCCCAATGGGGCCATGATGACAGATCCCATGATGAATCCGCAGCAGCGACAGATCTTTCAGAATATGATGACCTTTCAGCGCAATTCGGGATTTCCCATGGGCAACCAACAGAGCCTTGATCCGTCGTCGTTCATTGGTAACGTGGAAAATATCCAGGGCCAGCAAGCGGATGGGTTGCGTTCCCAAGAAGCAGGTCAGCTAGTGGTGCCTGCCAGTTCTTCCCAAATGAATCAACAGCCATACACTGCTCCTCAGAACATGTTCCAAGTGGGCCAGCAGATGGGTCAAGGGGGTCAGACCAACCTCAATGGCGCCTCTATCAGCCCTCAGTTTCTCGCGGCCCAGCACCTGCAGAACCCTCAGAACGTCCAGCAGGATCGAAATCAGCAGGCAGCACAGTTCCAGCCTCAGCCCCAGGCGCAAACCCAAGCGCAAGCACGAGCTCAAGCAGCTCAGAAAGCACAAATGGCGATATCGCAAGCAGGCCAGGCTAATCCACAAATGCAGCAACAACTATCTCAAAGTCCCGCTATGCCGATGTTGAACCGTCCCATGCCGCCTGGGCAGATGTCCCCAGGGCAAGTGGCCGCACAAGTCCGGCCGCCGTCGCGGGCTCCCGGGATGGGACAACAGCCCAATGGCGTGCAGGGTCTTGCTGGACAGCCCGGAATGCAAGGTCGACCCCAGATTCCTCCTGGTCTGCCACCCGCGGCGCACGAACAGCTGGCTCAAATGACTCCTGAACACCTTAATGCTTTTCTTTTAAATCAGCAGCGCCGTGCTCTCGCAAACAACCAAGCTCTCGCAAGAGCAAATGCTGGTCAGCAACCGTTGCCCATGCAGCAGAATTTGTCGCAACCCGGCCAGAATCAGCAGATGGTGAACAATCAGATGGGTAATAATCAGAACATGCGCGCGTCTCTCGGACTGCAACAGCAACTGGCCGGAATGAACGGTGGACAAATGCCCAATCAGATGCTCGCGGGACAGCAGATGTCGGCTCAGCAACGGCAACAGCAACAGAGGCAGCACGACTTGTACAAGCTGCAACTCCTTCGGCAGCAGAGTGGGAGCATAGAGATGACGCCTGATCAGGTCAAGGAGATGGATCGCATTCAGTTCCCTCCTGCGATCCTCGCTAACAATCCGAATATGGTTTCCCCAGTCCCGAAGCATATCAAGACCTGGGGTCAGTTGAAACAATGGGTGGCTGCAAACCCGCAAGCTCTTGGCGGAGTTGATTTGCAGAAACTCATGACTTTGCAGAAGCTACATCTTGCCCAGATTGTAGCTCAAGGGAAAGAAGGAGCCGTCCGTAACATAGATCAGAATGGCCAGGGCAACTGGGGACAGATGATGTCTTTTCAGGGACAACCCCAGCAGTTTGTGAATCCACAAGCGTTTCAGGCGGGCCAGCAGCAAGTACCAATGAACATGCCGGCGTTGAGGCCGGTCACCGCCACTGAAATCCAAATGGCTCGCCAGCGCTTGGGTGCTCAAGTGGCCAACTACTCCGACGACCAGCTCCGCGAGATCATCCTTCGGAACAGGCAGAAACAACTGATGCAGATGGCCCAGAGTCGAGCAGCCCAGGCTTTAGCCGCGCAGAATATGAACCAAAACCAGCAGAACCAAACGGTGCAACAACCTCCGTTGACGGGGCCTCCTACCACTTCTCAGGCCAAGCAGGGTCCTCAGCAGCCCACCCCACCTCAAAACCAACAAAACCAAACTGCCAAGGCTCAAAATACGGCGGCTGCGAAGGGCGCAAAGGGCTCGGCTCCCAAACAGGGCACCAAGCGCAAATCAGCCGCTGAAGAGCCTACAGAAGCCCAAGCAGCACCGGTCTCAAAGACAGCCCAGCCTACTACTACTCAAGGGGGAGTATCGGCACCGCCTTCTAGACCCAATATGGCTATCACGCCCGAGCAACTGGCTGCAATGACCCCTCAGCAACGCATGCAGTTAGCGCAACTGCGCAGACAACAAGGTCAACAACGGGTTCCGATCAGTAGAGCAGCGGCGGAGGAAGCATGGAACAACCTACCCGAGAAGATTCGACAGCTCTACAACGATATCGCGAAGAATGCGCCTGCAGCGGAACCTGTTGCCCTTTCACCTGAGCAGAAAGCTGCCATGACCCAGCAACTTCGTGAATGCACCGACATGCTTGGTAGAATGGACACTCTTGCCCAATGGTTCTCAAAAATCCCTGGCCAGGAGAAGAACGTTCGCAGTTTACTTGCAATGGTATGTCCGCAGTCGTCCCTGGACTCCACTCCTCCCGGAATTTACATACTAACTCAGTTTTGACGTAGCGTATACAATTAATGAGGCAATTTAAACCCGGCCCGGACTGGACGATCAATGACCACTTTACCATTGCTCCAGAGTATCTTAGCGGCACCATCAATTACATCCGGAAGCTGTTCCACGCTATGATCACTCGGGTGAACCAACAGCAAAACCAACCTTCTGGCCAGCGGCCGAGTAGCGTGCCACAAGGATCCTCTACCATGCCGCAGCCCAATCAAAACAATATGCCTGCTCTAAACGCAAGTAACTTGCAGCAGCTTCAACAACAGGAAGAGGCTCTCCAGCGAGCCCGAAGAGCCTCAAGCCAGGCTGCTTCGGCAACCTCTGCAGTGCCGCAGCCACCTTTTGGAGCGCCATCTCCCCAGGGGGTTCCGCACGTTTACGGCCCGGGAAGCATTCCGCCCGAGAAGTTGAAGATTCCTCCTTCGAAGAAGAGGAAGCAGTCTCACCCTGGCGGGACTCCAACCCAAAGTCAAGCTCCTGGCACGCCAGCCTCGAAGTTGCAGGCGGCTAAGCAGGCCGTGCCTGATGCTAAAACAACTGCCCTAGTCCTGGGTGGCCCATTCAAATGCAGCGTCATTGAGTGTCAGCATCACCATCTCGGGTTTGCGACTCAGGATGCACTTGACAAACATGTCGAAGAAAGCCACAAGGTGGAGGAGCCGATCAATGATCCTCTCGAGTTCGCCATTGAAAGCTTCCACACTAGCCTTTTGAAGGACGAAGAAGGAGCACAACCTCAGGATCTCACGAAGGACCTTCTTACCACCGGTATCGTTCCGTCTTCCGCAAAGCATGAAGTCAAAGGTGAACCAATCGCTCCTAATACTACCGGTGTGGGTCGCGCGCCCGGACCCCCTGGCACTAAGCCCGCTTCTCCTGGTTCGACTCAGCAGACTCCTCGTACAACTGCGGCCAAAGTTCCCACCTCGTCGGCGCTCAAGCCAAGCCCGAGCAAGGACGGTAAGAAGGAGGCCGTAAAGCCGGTGGATCAGTCCGCGCCATCTGCTGCAGTTACCAAGGATCCTTGGGCAGATAGCACCATTTCTCTCGAGGCAATTCAAGATACGTTCATGGATTTCGGCGGCGATTCAGGCTTTGGCTTTGGGTCTATGGATGAGTTCATCAACCCTGAAATGTTCGCCAATGCCCAGTCTGAGGATACCCCCGACTCTGTCGAAACTGGCGTTGCTACGCAGACGCCAAAGGATAGCGAGGTTCCAAAGATCCAAGATGCTACCGGCAAGTTTGATGTCTCTGATGATAGCTGGATCCCGATGGACTGGATCAATGTTCCTTCACGTTTTGAAGACGCGCTCGTGGTTAATGACTCCTGGGAGAATTTCGATTGGGGGACAGTTGACCTGAACAACGGGGCCATGACTGTTGACGACAATGGCATTGCCATCTATGCCATGTAAGGAAAGATGGCACTTCGCAGCTGAATTGCGCGATATTCATTTATCTGGCGTAAATAGGAATGATTTATGTGTACATTAACGCACGGCCTGAGAACGGGAGGCTCCTGTTTGCTTTCCGCAGTCGGCATTATCGTTCTGGGTATCCCACATGGTCTTGTGGGATTGGTTTCTGTTTCCTTGTGCCATTTTCATCTTGTTGGTCTGCTTAGATTAGCCATGGCGTTATCTGGAGTGACAGAATATGGGAAAAGCGAGGGGACTTCTTGTCAGTTGTCTAGATAGGGGGAAGGCTCGAGAGCGTTCCTTGTGAGAAATATTGGGTACTTGCAATAATCATCCTAATATTATGACTATTATCCAATTTCAATCTGGTGTGCTATCCTCGATCCCCATGAAGATGGTACCTAGTATGCTATCATCATCTGATACGAATCATGTGCCTATGTGCATCTATACTGGAGACTGCCAAGCCAATTTAAGACTCCGGCTGATGAGCTGCTGATATAATCATGCTGATATGTAACGTAATCCACAAGCGAGCGAGACACCCAACCCCTGAGATCTTACAACCACCACCGAATCATCATCAAATCCAGCCTTTTGTCCAATATGGCATCAAAACCAGCAGATTCAAGCATCAGATTAGAAGATCGCATATCTCTTGCAGTCAAAGCATATAAAAATGGTCATTTTAAAAGTGTACGAGCGGCAGCAGCAGCATATGATGTCCCACATTCCACTCTAGCCCATCGCATCAATGGTCGAAAGGCGCGAAGCAATATACCAGTGAACTGTCAGAAGCTTACCAATCTTGAAGAGGCCTCATTAAAGAAGTGGATTCTAGATATGGATGATCGCGGCCTACCCCCAACTCAAGATATTGTACGCAAGATGGCAGATTTACTACTGTCTCAGCGGAAATCAGGTCCATCTACTGGCATTGGAAAGAACTGGGTCAGCAACTTCATTAAACGGCATGATGATCTTACATCAAAATATACCCGCAAGTATGATTATCAGCGTGCAAAATGTGAGGATCCTGAGATTATCAACCGGTGGTTTGATCTTGTTCAGAACACCATATTAAAATATGGTATTCTTGAACAGGATATCTACAACTTTGATGAGACTGGCTTTCAAATGGGTGTAGCTCATACAGCAAAGGTCATTACTGCATCCCGCCATCGAACAAGCCGCGTACGAGCTGTACAGCCAGGGAATCGCGAATGGGTTACTGTCATTGAATGTATCAATGCTTCTGGGTGGCCTCTGCCCCCCATGATCATCTTCTCTGGCAAGGTCCATCAGTCTCAATGGTGTCAAGATATAGACCCTGACTGGCTGATTGGTGTGAGCGATAATGGATGGACTAATAATGGGCTTGGCTTATCATGGTTGGAAAAAGTCTTTGAGAAGCATACTGCGTCGCGTACACTGGGAAAATATCGGCTTCTGATTCTTGATGGCCATGCTAGCCACGAATCCGCAGAGTTTGACCTATTTTGCAAGAATCATCAAATCATCCCTTTATATATGCCTTCCCATTCGTCTGATAAACTACAGCCACTTGATGTTGGCTGCTTTGCACCCCTAAAGGAGGCATATGGTGCAGAGGTGATGCGCAGTATTCAAAATAGCATTCATCATATCAACAAAGAGAACTTTCTGGATCTCTACAAGCGAGCACGAAAAGCATTATCACCTTCCAATATCAGCAGTGGATTCAGGGCTTCTGGACTAGTTCCATTGAATCGTCAACAGGTGTTGGATAGGCTTACCATTAAGCATATCACACCACCCTCTACTGCTCATGGGCCTTTAGACGGAGACAGGGAATGGACAGCAAAGACTCCATATACTACTGCTGAGGTACAAAAGCAGATGCAGCTTATCAAACAACTTATCAGTCGCAACTCTGAAAGCCCGCCAAATGAAGCAGTTCGTCAGCTGGCAAAAGCAGCCGAATCCACCATGCATGAAGTCATTCTATTACGACACCAGATGACTGAGCTTCGCGCAGCAAATGAAAAGCAAAAACGGAAGCATACAGCCCCAAGATCTTTTATTGCTACTGGGGGTGTTCTGACAGGATCCGAAGGTCAGCAACTTGCTCAAGAAGCCATGCAGGCAATGGACTTGGTGGAATCAGTTCCCAGAAAGCGTGCGCCACCCCGATGCAGTAATTGCCATCAAATTGGTCATATTAGAACCAGCTGCCCTAGTAGATCCAGATAATTCGAAAATTTACATTGATTTGATTGTGTGGTAGTAAGATATCTCATGGTATTTCAGCATCGGCCAAAATTCGGTTTTGCTGTCTCGCTCGGTTGTGGATTACGTTAACTAACTAACTATGTATGTACGGAGTAGCTGATAGGAAGCTGATAAGCCTCCCCCCATCTCCACCACTTCCGTCACTCACGCAACTCACTCGCCTCCGCCCTTTGTTCTCTTCATTAATCTCTCCTCTTTTGGCCCAGAATGGTACTCAATAAGTGCTTGTGATTGTGATTGAAGTTTTCCATTTGATTTTTGGTCTCTGAATTTCGCTGGATCGATTATATCGGAGATCAAGCCTCGATTGTCCCTTCTTCAGTCCATTGTCATTATCAAGCTCATAGCTAGCCAGCTAGCTATTATCTTCGGCAGCCTTGCATATTGTATACACAGTACATGCTTTCTTCTGGTTTATAACTACCTTCTAATAGGTGCAAGATGGCTACTCGGGCTGTGGTACCGTTTCTGGTCACGATGATGCTCGTGACCGGGGTCTGCAACACAATCCTCAATAAGTATCAGGTCTGATACCAGAAGTCTTTTTGCTCTTTATATCTAGCTAATGTCATGTGAAAGGATATGCAATGTGTACGGAACTGCGACTCTCCAGACCCTAAATATCGGCAAACTTTCGAGCAGCCGGTCGTCCAGACGTGGGTTTCCCCCACCTGTATCCACTATTCTACACAATCGATGCTAATTTCAATCCCGTACCGATGATAGCGTTCAGATGTTCATTGGAGAAATGGGCTGTTGGCTCGTGATATTCGCCTCATATGTTTACCAATCGTTTATATATCCGCGTCTGTCGCCCAATTCTTCGCCTCTCCTTGCAGGCGGGTATAATCCCGTCCACCCCGATGACATAGGCGATGAGGAGGACCATACGATTGACGGTCCTGATGCATCTAACCATACTCCCAAGCGCACCGATGCTGAAGGTCGGCCGTACCTCAGTGGACGTCGGATCCTCCTTCTCGCTGCGCCGGCATGCTGCGATATCGCGGGTACGACTCTGATGAACGTGGGTCTGCTCTTCGTCGCGGCCAGCATCTACCAAATGACGCGTGGAGCATTGGTTCTTTTTGTCGGTTTGTTCAGCGTCCTGTTTCTCCGTCGGAAGTTGTTCCTATACCAGTGGATTGCACTGTTCGTGGTGGTTCTTGGTGTCGCCTTGGTAGGACTTGCCGGTGCACTCTTCGGCCAGGACCAAGGCCACGACATCTCCCGGGACGATACTCTTGCAATTGCCACTCGGGCCGTGATGGAAGCTCGGGAGATGGCGAAGACTCCTGAAGCGCTCAAGGCTGTCATTGGTGTGCTCTTGATTGCAGCGGCACAGATCTTCACGGCCTCTCAGTTCGTGCTGGAGGAGTGGATTCTCGAGAACTACGCCATGGATCCTCTTCAGGTCGTTGGATGGGAAGGCATATTCGGTTTCTCCGTTACTGTCATTGCTTCCATCATTTTGTACCTGACCGTAGGACGGACGGAAGCCGGTCGCTACGGCTATTTTGACGCCAAAGAAGGATGGCGACAAGTCTTCTCTAACAAGTACATTGCCATGGCCAGTATCCTTATTATGATTAGTATTGGGTTCGTGATTCCGCACGGCATCTCTCTCTGCGTTATGCACATTTTCCGAGTACAAAAGGCTAATCTGTTGTTCTCTCACAGAGGCTTCAACTTCTTTGGCCTTTCAGTGACCCGAACTGTATCTGCCACCTCCCGTAGCACAATCGACGCCTGCCGGACACTCTTCATCTGGCTTGTTTCGCTCGCCCTCGGCTGGGAAACATTCAAGTGGCTGCAAGTCCTGGGCTTTGCGCTTCTCGTCTACGGAACCTTCTTGTTCAACGATATCATCCGTCCCCCTCTCAAAGCATGTCTTCCCCGTGACAGGCAGGAGAGGCAGATTCTGCTGCCTGAGGAGCCCATTGAGCACATTTAGCTTAGGGTGGGCGAACGTCGTTGACTGCATCACTATTTCTTGGGTTCTTCGTTAGGACAATTTGGCTCGGTCCGGGCGTTGAAGGTGGTGTTCAATTTGGTTGCTTCTGTTCTTGGGCTTAAGTGTGCCGCGCATTCAGTTTGGTTAATAGAGGCAGTCGTCGACATCGGCACTTTCAAGGCTGTCATACGAAACCGATTATCTTCATGTCATAGCATGAGTCTTGGAAACCATATCACGCCCCTTCTATCCAGTTAGGCTTTGGTTACAACCGAAATAAGAGACGGGTATGGTTTTTATTGTCAATTGCGAAGTCTGGACTACGAAATACAATATATCAATTGGATACACATAACACTTTCAACACGAGGGTATATAACCAAGTCTACTACACTATAGTACAAGTATAACCAAAACGCGCTATTCTACCGACCGCAGTGTACATTGTTCAATCAAACCAGGACATACAGAGCACACATCTAGACAACGTCAGCTATGCATCATCAATCTGCAGGAAAAATGTGTAAAGCTCACCATAGACAGCCCTGTTATCATAGAAAGCCAGAAGAAGACGTTCTGCACATGTAAAAAATGCAGTTAGCGAGCTGATCCCATGATCAAGAAGGAGAGGAGACGCACATTGAGGGTCCTCTTCCCGCGGAAGAATCGCGACCGTTGGACGGCGACGATGGGCATCTGGAGCATCATGGCTAGGAAGCCGTACCCGCGCAGCTTCTTGGTGATGCAGCTCATGACGAGCTCGTGGAAGACG